TCCCCCCTAGTGGCCAGCGCTGCCCCGACCCCGCGGGGCCCCCTGAGCCCTTGGTGCGGGTCCCCCGGGGCGTCCCCAGACTGAGCAGACCCCCGAGAACGTTCTAGCGGGGCCTCCGTGTCCGGCTGTCTGTCCTCCCACCAGGGGTCTCCCGGGCCGGCCCGAGGAGGAGAAGGCGGCCGTGGCCAAGAAGCCGGACCAGAAGCCCAAGGGCGAGGGCATCCCAACCACGGCCAAGGTGAGCTGGCCCGGGCAGTTCCCGGGATTGGTGACGGTGGGAGGCAGGGGTGCTCGACTCTGGAAGTCCCCTGGTTCCCCCTGAGCCTGGGGGTGCTGGGGGGGGGAGGTAGAGAGAGGCTCCCAGCCAGGCGGGGGCACCGCCCTCCACTCCATTGGGGACAGCGCCCATAGGAGCGGAACCATCGTCCTGAGACGTACAGTCGCCCAGCCCGGCCGGTGTGGCTCAGTGGGTTGAGTGTCGACCTATGAACCAGGAGGTCACGGTTGGATTCCCGGTCGGGGCACAGGCCGGGGTTGGGGGCTCCATCCCCAGTGTGGGGCGTGCGGGAGGCAGCCGGTCCATGATTCTCTCTCATCATGGATGTTTATCTCTCTCTCTCCCTTCCTCTCGGTAATCAATACAAATATATTTTAAAAATAAAAAGGGAATGGCGTGGGGCCCCCTGTCCCAGCAGCAGGGAGAGTTAGTGGGCAGAGCCGACACCGGCCCTGCCCCCAGGGAACGTCCCCCCGCGTGGCAACTGCCGGTCTCCGCTCATCACCATCCTCTTCCTTGTGCCCCTTCGGCAGCTGAAGGTCGATGAGTTCGAGTCCAACGTCAACGAGGTGAAGGACCCATACCCCTCGGCTGACTTCCCAGGTGAGTGGCCTGGCTTCGTGCGCCCCTCCCCCATAACCCCTCCCCCACCCCCCTGGCTGTGAGCATCCGGGACAGAGGGTGCCACCGCGAGGCTCCTGGCCTCTCCTCCCTCCCCACAGGGGACGATGAGGAAGATGAGCCCGAAATCCCAGCAAGCCCCCGCCCGCGGCCCCTGGCCGAGCTGCAGCTGAAAGAGAAGGCGGTGCCCATCCCAGAAGCCAGCTCCTTCTTCATCTTCAGCCCCACCAACAAGTGGGTGGCCCCTCGCTGCTGCGTTGGGGGGGGCAGGGGGGCGGGGGGGCGTGCTCCAGATTCCCTGTGACAAAGGGCTGGTTAAATTTGCTCTGGGAAGATGGTGGTGGTGGTGATGATGATGGTGGTGGTGATGATGATGGTGGTGGTGATGATGATGGTGCAGCTGCACTGGGAGAACCTCATTCCTTGAGCTGAAGGCCTTGTGCCCCGTCTAACACGCCAGCATCCCTGGGGGGCGGGGAGGGGGGGAGTACTGGCACCTATGGGACTGGCTACACTGGCTCCTTTCTGAGAGTAATTTTATTTACTTTTAATTTTTTTGAAATAGATTTTTATTGATGTCAGAGAGGAAGGGAGAGGGTGAAAGAGAAACATCCATGATGAGAGAGAATCATGGATTGGCTGCCTCCTGCACGCCCCCCACTGGGGATCGAGCCCACAACCCCGGCCTGTGCCCTGATCGCGAATCGAACCCTGACCTCCTGGTTCATGGATCGCGGCTCAACCACTGAGCCACACCGGTCGGGTCCCAATTTCACGTCTTTAACAACACACAGACTATAGTCTTCAAAGAGTTCCCTCCGCCTGCCTCCGGGATGGAGACGGGCCTGTCCCCTTTTTGGGGGGGAAGCTGTAGGTGGTAGAGTCCTGGGGAGGAGAGGTGATGGGAGGGGCGAGGTGGGGAGATGGAGCTGAGGCTGCTGGGACAGAATGGTGGCAGGGCCGCTGCATGGCCAGCCAGTGGGCCGCCCAGATGCCCGCTATTCTCCCCTGACCGGGAGGGAGTGAGCCAGTGCTCCCTGCAGGACAGAGGCGGCCGGGAGGCCCGAGTGCCCAGGAGCTCAGTTCCCCGGACCCTCCCGTCCCCACAGGTTCCGCGTCCTCTGCCATCGCATCGTCAACGCCACCTGGTTCACCAACTTCATCCTGCTCTTCATCATGCTCAGCAGCGCCGCCCTGGCCGCCGAGGACCCCATCCAGGCCGAGTCCATGAGGAACCAGGTGAGGGCGGCTCCGCACCCCCCCCAGGCCTCAGGCTCCGCCCCCCGCCCCCCCAGACCTCAGGCTCCGCACGCCTCACCTGTGTTCATGTCAGCGGCATCCTCTATGTGGCTCTCCGAGTTCTCAGAGTCTCAGTCCCTGGAGGGCCCAGACGCCCAGTCCACTCCTTCTCAACAGCTGTCACGGCCTGCGGCACGGACGGGCTCTTGTTGCTTGGGTTTAATGGTGACGGTGGTGGTGGTGATGATGGTGGTGATGGTAGTGATGGTGATGGTGATGATGGGGATGATGGGGATGATGGTGGTGG